ACTGTCATAATTTTGTGCTTTTGCTTAAGTTTTCCAAAGGGATCAAAATCCTATCAGATGCCCTTGATAAGAAAGAGCTCAGGTCCACATGCATATTAGCACAATAAAGGTTTGTAAATGTCCTAAATAAGGAAACTAATAAGTCTGTTTATCCCAGTGTCTCCTAAATTTGTTCAACTCTTTTAATAAAGCACTTGAAATTAGTGTTCCATGGAACGCCCTTTGGGAAGAGCATCTGGCAAAATATTAAGACGCATTTTAAAGGCCAAATCTTTAAAGCTTTCCAAACTTCACCCAAAGAGGCATCCCTTCTCCAATATTCCCACAGGCTTTGAAACCCTCAACATGGCTTTGAAATGACCCGTTTACTGCCTACTTCCCATTAGGCTGCCTGACATAGACACTGTGCCACCACAATTCCTGGCTCCCAGCAGGAGCTCGACATTGGTTCAACAAATGAGCTACTGAAAGCTGGAAGTGAAAGAAAGAATGGGCAAAATCCCAGGTTTCCACTTTGGATGAATGTGCTAGGGAAAATATTCCAAAGGAATATAAGATTGGCAGGAAAAGGGGAGAGTCCATTTTGGACATGTGGAAACTCAAAATGGAAATGTCCTGTAGACATTTGGAAATATGGACCTAAAACTCTGTAGAATCTGGAAATTTGGAGAATCTTATAGGTGATAGATGAAGCTATGAAAGAGTCAATGACCTTAGAAAGTAGAGGATGGGGAACATTACTATTTAAAAAGTGAGCAAATTTTCTCAAGCCAAAAAACTCAGAATTCCCCTCAATACTCCCCGCCTCTCTTGCCCCCATCCACTCCATCTAGCCCATCACCAAGCTGTCACCTCTACTGTCAGGAGCTTTTCAGAATCCATTTCGTCTTCTTCATCTCCACTATTACACGAGTCCCAGCCTACACCACCGCAAAAGCCTTAGCTGCATCCACTCTTGCCCATACCAACCCCATCCAGCACCAGAATGGCCTTTAAAAAATAAGTCACATCACATCATGCTTCTGCTTAAAATCCTGCTATTGCTTCCCATTGCACTTGATCTGATCCTTGCTCACCCACCTCTCATACCACCTGCCTATTAGCCACACTGACATCCTTTCTGTTCTTCATGCAAGCTCAGAAGGTTCCTGCCTCAGAGACTGCTGGTGGTTCTAACTGGAATGTTCTTTCTTGAGACTTTCGGCTAACGGATAACCCTCCTGTCATTCAGGCCCAAATTAAGACAAAGCATCTGATATAAAGATATCAGATACTGAACTATAAATTGTTCAGTATCACACTACTCTTTTAATTTTTCTTAGGATTTATTATAACTTAAAATTAATTTTTGAAATTATTGATCTCTTTCTCTATGAGAGCAGAGTTTTAATTTGTCCTGTTCACTGCTGTATTTCTAGTGCCTAAATACGCTCTGGTCCACAGTAGGCACCCAAATATTTGTTGCATGAATTAATATGGGAAAGCAGGAAGGAGACAGAAAAAAAGTCAGAAAGTTGGAAAGAAAACCAGAAGAGAGTAGGAGCTCAGAGAAGTCTTAAGAAGGAGGAAGTCAAGAAGAATGATGACTAAGAAGCCACTAAATTTGGCAACTCCATCTTTGGTGTCCTTTCAGGGGTCAACTTCGGAAAAGTAGAAGAGGTAGAAGGCAGATTACAATGGGCTGAGTAAATGGGAAGTTCAAGGAAAGGGCAAAGGAAGGAAGAAGATGGAACGCTAGTTTGAGGGTGAGAAAAGACAAAAGAAAGGGGAATATCTACTTGTGCTTTCAAGCTGAAGGAAGGATGCAGTGGGAAACGGGATACTGACAATAAAAAAAGGAAAGAGGGTGCTGGGACAAGGTCCCAGATGTTATAGGAAGAAATGGGATCCTAAAACCACATTAGTCATCTTTTCTCTAAAACTATCCCACATGATTACAGCACAATGTATGTTTTATGTTCAGAAATATCTACTCCCCAGAAATAATGTATTTGAATAATTCTTACATAATTTCAGTCTACAAAATCATTATTAAAAATTTACAGATATTTCTTAACTCTTAGAAGTTATACACTGGGGTGTTTGGGAGTAGAGAGCCATGAGATGTGCAGCGTACTCTCAGGTGGTTCAGAGATCAAAAGTTTTAGAGAGGGAGCGAGGGAGAGAGTATGTGTGCAAACGATAAAGTAAATGGGGCACAGTGGTGACAGTGGGTAGAATCTAAGATGTTCTTTATACTACTTGTGTAGTTTTCCTGTTTTAAATTATGTATAATTAAAAAGTCAAAGAGAGAGGGGAAGAAATTTTGCACACCTAAGCTAAGCAAGGAAGGCAACTTCCATGAAACTGGAAATTTGGCATGCAACTGTCAGATTTCTACCTCGACTATCAGGCAGCACAAAATAACAATGGTGAATAAAGGGACGAGGCATAAACCTTTACATTTTACTAAAAGAAAATGTTCAAGTTATTTTAAAAGACTATTTTCATTACAGAATGAATATATGTATAAAGTGGGTGGATAATTCTCTATAATCTAGTGTTCCTAATAAAAAGTCAACCATAACTGTCATTAGAAAACTACTATTTGGTTTTTAAAGAGCACACACAGCATAAAGAAAAGCTAGTAAGGTCACTCCTTGACAACTAGATAGAATCTGAAGCACTGTTTCTGATCCATCTTTAACAGAGTAAGCAGATAGTGGTTAAGATTTTGCTGTGGTGGGATATCCTAAAAGAAAAAAACCTAAAGGTGAACTCTATTAGTCAATTTGATCCCTTTTCAAAAAGCTGCACAAATGATTTGCTAATGGTAACTGTAGCTATGAGACAGCTGCCCAACAGTACTACATTTGGAAAAAAGAATAATATTCCTTACATAAGGAATACTAATTGTATCAAATACATATAGAAAATTGTCAAAAATAATAATGACCCTCCCTCTCCCTGCAAGCAGTGCTCTCTCTCCAAGTCAAATTCTACCCAGGCAAGGATTTTCTCCCCCTCTGAACTGAAGGATCCACTAAAATGGAACATGCCACTGTTTTCTTAGTGACACTGATCTTCCTGGGATCCTGAAATCCCATTCCAAGGCCAAAGAGCTCAGCTCGAATCACCTGGAGAGTGAAATGAAAAGGGGTCCTCTTCCTAGTAGGGAGACAGAAGAGCACCTGCACTCTAAAGTTTAAACTCATGAAATCCATGCATCAAGATTTAATGTGAAAAAAAAAAAGATTTAATGTGATAAGACATCAATATAACATGGCACATCTAATCAGGCTGACACCCAAAGGAATAATTGACAAGCCAGATTCAAGTTTAACACACTCAAAATTAATTTCTCTTCAAACAACATGCCCAATCTCTCTCCATTAATTCAGGACTAAAAATACCATATAGGGTCTAAACTCTTACTCTCTTTAAACAAATTGAGTCACTACTAATATGCTTTCTAAAGGATGTTCAAGGTAACTATTTGTGTGTAAAACTAAGATTTTTATGAGCTTTCTTTAAATTGCAATGACCGCTCACTACTCTTGGAAGTCCTTCTTTAAAACAAGTTGTTAATAAAGGCATCATGAAGTTCAGTCATTTTGCTTTTGAGGTTAGTGCAAAAGAGGATAAATTACTGAGTGAACTACTGCCAAGTTTAATATCAATCATTCAATGAACACATGCTGAGGGCCTAAGAAGTGTACGGAACTCTGAGCCAAACCTCTCCCTGCCTCTCAGGGATTACAGTCTAGTTGGCAAGACATGACCAAAGTGGTATGAGACTATGTGCTAAAAATAAATAGCAAAGACAATAGTTTCCTAAATGTTTTGGCAAAGTTGATTCTGACTGCTGTGGGCTAGTGTGGTCAGAAACCAGCTTTCAAAAAGAGGAAGATGAGCTGGACCTGAAGGATGGCAGGATTCTGAAAGGTGGGGAGGAGGGTCCTGCTGGCAGCCTTTCCATTTATGAAAATATTTTCACATCCCCAATCATTTCTTTTGAGTCTTATAAGAATCCTGGAGGATAAGAAGCTAAACATATCTGCAGTTTACAGATGAGAAAAGTGAGGACCACAAGACTTGACTAGTTGATAAGCAGTGCAATGTCCAGCAGCCCAATCTAATGTGGGAGAGAATAATAATAATAATAATTTCAACCAGAAAACAGGGCCCTGTGGGGCACACAGCATTTAGAGACGAAAAGAGAGACCAAATACCTGAAGACTAGTTAGGGAAGAGCACTGCCATTGTCCAGGTGATAGGTAATAAAAGCATGAATTTAAAAATACCCAGAACAAATTAGATTGGTAACATTTGTTTTAAACTTTAAATTGCCAAGAAAAACAACAACAACAAAAATTTGTCTCCCTTTTATAAATCAGTTTCAGGGAGGAAAAATTCCCTGAAATAATTTACCAACAAACTCTTTAACATTATCAGAAATTTTAAGTAGCCTTAGAAATTAAAACTGAAATTATCAATAGCACTGCTGTAATCACAAGTTCACAAATTTCACGGCTGCCCAAACAAGGAATACTTTAATGGAACTCAAAGAGCGGCACTATGCCTTTTACTAATAAGTAAGGTTTCCAAAGATTTTTGGATTTTTCCATTCACAATAGTTTGATTTGGTCAACGGAAGAACGGCTTATTTCCATGTATAAGCCCTGACCCAGCAAAGAGCAAGGACCCAAAAAACATTTGCAAAATAATGAGGCCACTCTAAGGCCAGTGTGCTCAAATATAGTTCTCAAAATTTCGGAATGAGTCTGGAAGAAAAACCTTTCAGCTGCCATTCAGCAGCCTTCCCAGCCGAGGCCTTAATGTAAAGTCTTTATGGTTATGTTTTCCCATAGTAATGCCACAATGTCATTTCCCGCAGGTGACAGCCGCTCAGTCCCTGCCAGGTTAGCCTCCCCCGAGACAGGCCCCAGGAGCTGCGGGCACTGGGGCGGTCTCAGAGCGGCCCGGGCGGCGACAAGGGACGCTCCCTGCGCCCTACTCACCGCAACCGGGCGGCCGTGCTCGGGGCCGTCGGCGGAGTCGTGGCGCGGGGCCGGAGCGGGCGGTGGGGCCGGGGCAGCGGCCGCGGCCGGGGCGGGTGGTTGCCGGTGCTTGCCGGCGCGCTTGGCCTTGGCCTGGATGCAGCGCTGGTGCAAGGCGAAGGTGTGCTGGCGCTCGAGCTCCAGGCGCTCGGGCGACACGGCCTCGTAGCGGGCCTCGCAGGTGCTGTGGTGGCGCCGGCACAGCTCAATGCGCCTGCGGAGGCGCTCCATGACCGCGCTATGCCGCGGCAGCGCGAACTCCGCCATGGGGCAGATGGGCAGCACCATGGGCCGCGGGCAGCACGGGCCGGGCCGGGGCGGGCCTCCCG